ATGTCTCCAGAGCCCCGTCGGCATTCTCCTGCTGTATCGCCAGAGCCCCGTCGCCATTCTCCAGCTGTGTCTCCAGAGCCCCGCAGATACTCCCCAGCTGTGTCACCAGAGCCAAAGAAACCTACTCCAGCAGTATCCCCTGAACCACGAAGGTATGCCCCAGCTGGGTCTCCGGAGCCCCGGAGGCATCCTTCTCAAATGCGTAGGCCTGCTTCTGCTTCTTCTCCTGAAACCCGGAGGCCTGCTCCTGCAGTTTCGCCAGAATCTTGGAGACCTGGTCCGACTGTTTCCCCTGAGCCTTGGAGATCTACACCTCACGAGGTGCAGAAGTCTTCCACAGTTTCTCCCTGGGCTCCAAAGCCTGCCATGTCGGTGTCCGTAGAATCCCGGAGGTCTGCCCCTGAGTCCCGAAGGCCTGGCCCCGTTGTGTCGCCAGAACCTAGGAGGCTTGTTTCTGACTCGTGGAAATCTACGTCCTTTTCTGAATCCCAAAAGTCTACTCTTGTTTCTTCTGAGCCGTGGAAACCTATCTCATCTGTTTACCCTGAAGGCTGGAAGCCTGTTCTGTCCCCTGACACGTGGAAGCATTCTTCCCCTGTTTCTCCTGAGCTTCGAAAGTCTAGTCATGCCGTTTCCTCTGACTCTTGGAAGCCTTCTTTCTTTCCTGAGGTCCGTAAGCCTGGTGCTTCGGTATCTCCTGAATCTTGGAAACTCTCTGAGTCCCGGAAATCTATGTATTTTTCTGAAACTCAGAAATCCACCTCTGCTGCTTCGTCTGAGGTTCAGAAACGGGCTCATTTCCCTGAACCTCGGAAAAGAGCTCTGTTCCCCGAGTCTCGTAAATCTAATCCTACTGTTTCTACTGATGTCCAGAAACGTGCTGTTTATTCTGAACCCCAGAACCAGGTGTCTACTTCTGCTGTTTCTACTGAAGGCCAAAAACATGCCTTATGTTCTGAAGGCCAGAAATTGGCTCTTGTTTCTTCTGAAGTCCAGAAGCACGCCCTATTTTCTGAAGCCCAGAAACTTGCCTCCATTTCCTCTGAAGTTCAGGAGCCTACTTGTTTTTCAGAGTCTCAGAAATCTGCTTCTCCTGAAATTCAGAAACATGGCTTCTTTACAGAGTCCCCGAAACGTACTCCTTCTGTTTCTCCTGAGACCCCCAAACAAGCTGGTTTTACTGACTCCCAGAAATCTGCTGTTTCCCCTGATGTTCAAAAGCATGCTATATTTTCTGAGATGCAGAAGCCTGCTGCTGCTTTATCCTCTGATGTCCAGAGACATGCTGAAACTACTGTACCTTCTGAAATCCAGAAGAACATCCTGTTTTCCGAGCCTCACAAGACTGCTCCAGGTTTTTCCTCCGAGCCCCAGACACCTAGTGAGTCTGGTGAGAGTGACTTTCTTTCTCACAGTTTAGATGATCAGAAACCACTGGATGATTTATTCTCACAGGATGAACAATCAATCTTAGCCAAAGACTCACCAGAAGACATGTTGTATTCATGCCCGAAAAAGAAGCCCAAGAAGGAAAACCAGGAGAACTCAGATTCTGAGCTAAATAGCAGCGAGTGTGGAAAAACAGAGATGGACTCGATGGAGATAAAGGAGCAAGAATCCAACAGCGACCAAGACCAATATGATATGGAGTCATCCGATTACGGCAAAGAGGGCAAAATAGATGCCACTACTCCCATGCAGCCACAGTGTGTGCTGCAGTTTACTGAAGAGAAAGAGGCTTTCATCTCTGAGGAAGAAATAGCAAAGTACATGAAGCGTGGCAAAGGAAAGTATTATTGCAAAATTTGTTGCTGTCGTGCAATGAAAAAAGGTGCTGTCTTGCACCATTTAGTTAACAAGCATAACGTTCAGAGCCCATACAAATGTAAAATATGTGGCAAAGCTTTTCTTTTGGAGTCTCTTCTTAAAAACCATGTTGCTGCTCATGGTCAAAGTTTGTTGAAGTGTCCACGTTGTAATTTTGAATCAAATTTTCCCCGAGGCTTTAAGAAACATTTAACCCATTGCCAAAGCCGTCATAGTGATGATACACCTAAAAAACATTTGGACAGCCTTGAACCACTTGAAGAACAAATTTAATCTGTTTTTTTTCCTTGTGCTAGAAAAGCTGAATTTACAGAAGTGTTCTAAAGTGTTGCTGTATGTTAACCGAGTAGTTTAGCTGATCTGACAAGTCAGAAGATGCATGGTTTATTGTACTATGTTTAACTTGTCTTATAGCTGTATTACTGAAAGGATTTACTTTTGAAAGTCATTTTAAATATGTGTTCATGTCTTTGTATTACCCATCCAGTAGAGTCATATTTTATTTTTCAGATGTACTATGTTTTTGAAACCAAAATGGATACAAATTAGTTTTTTAAAGATTTGTAAAACGTACAGGCAATTAAGGACTGGAGTGGCAAGCAATCCATATATTCCTGTGAAGACTGAACTTGTTTTTTCACATTTGTTAAATGTTGTATTTTTCAAAATGTTTTTATCGAATTCTCAAAATCAAAATTCTCACCAAATTGAGTGTGGGTGAGCCAGGCATGAGAAGCTACCAATCCTTCTGGAATAATTCTGCCCTGAGGTTGTAATTGAGTGTGTAGTCATTCGTTGGAAATTTATTGCACTCAATTCTCTGACTTACTTGTCTCAGATTTAGAAGCATCAAGGTACTTATTTTGTGACTCTGTATTTTGGCCATGTTTTAAGCATGTACTAATATACCTTAAATTGATGAATTAACGTCAGACTATGTATAGCTCAACACTTTATCTTGATGATTCAGATGTTTGTAATGTCAGAAACCCCCTAAATTTCTTGTATTTGGTGAAATGTTATGCTTTAATCTTTTAACAATAAAAAGAAACCCAACCTGGCATTGGCCATTTTTCTTTCTTTTTCCAAATCGAGAACGAAACCTTTCACGTTGAACATACTGCCTTTTAAGTATCTTTGGCAACAGGAGATGCAAAATTATCCTGGAGTTCTGCTCCGAATACTTCAACTTTCCAGTCGTCAGCCTATGAAAGCAAGGTTAGTCTAAATTTCCCATCTGCTTCAGAAAAACACATCAGATGTAAATGATGAAAAACATGGAAAATGGGAGTTTGTGCGCTGTTAATTAGCATGATTGCTTTTGTCCTATTTGCATATTAACTTCAAAAAATGCAAGTACTTTATAATTCAGCAGTAGGACAGATTTTAAGTGGAGGTAGCACAAGGAGAGTTTAATTCTCCTCGGGCTAAATTATGCCTAGACTTAAGCTGTTGTAAATACTGGCTTAGAATATGAAGGTGATAGTGTAAAATAAATAATAATAAAAACATCTCCACTGTCAGCTAAGAGCTTCAGATTGATTTAATTGAAGCCTGCGTCTGATATCTTCGGTGTTTCAAGAGGACTTCTGGAAAGAAGGGAAAAAGCATTTAAAGCTCTACACTTAGGTGACTTCTCAGTGCTGCCTATGAAGAGCAAGCTTTCTTGCAGGGTCCTCTCACATAGGACCAAACCCACTCTATGCCCCTAAGTCAAGTACCCTATGTTTCCTCTCATGGGGTCCAGTCTAGAATTCTAGATTTATTTTTTTTCCTAGGGGTGACTATAGCTAAATCTAAAAGAGAGCACTTGACTGTCAAGGCTCTGCTAGTATAGTCTTACTTTATATAAAAGCTGCTTTTCTGCTATCATTTCATCACTCTTGGCGCAGTCATTTGGTTAAGAAGATGCCTTACGCTGTTTGAATAAAAGGAAGAGGTCAAGGAAGGATTTGTTTGATTGGAAGTGGTGTCACCTTTACAGTTCGATGTCTCCCTACGGACAGATACTTGTGTCTCACTGCTGTGTGCCAGTCAACAACTTTGATTTCTGCGTATCTGTTGTGAAGGCTTGGTGCTATTTTGCTACATAACTGACTTCTTGGTTCTTGCTGAGTGACTACTTCTTTCTTTAATCTTGATTTACAGCTGTCAATGTGTACTTTATGACTCTTGGACGTGAACTTTACAAGCTCTCTTGATGTTAGGGTGTTCAGCCTCTTTAAATCCAGATATCATGGGCACTTTCCAGTTTCTTTTAGTAGAGAATATTGTCAAAGCCTTGTGGAAGTTGAAGGACATTTCTGGTGTGTGTTTTCCGTCCAGATTAAGTATTCTTTCACCCTTCCCTTATACAACGCTCATTTGAGATCCTTGAGATGTGCAGGAGGATCTGCTGGAATCTGAACTGGTTTAACTAACTTCTCTAAGGACCTGTAGGACACCAATAGATGGATCCGATTGGGGATTTCTTGTTTCCCTTTCAGATGACCCATTATAGATGCTGAGAAGGATGGATACAAACAGTGATCATTCTTTTTTGTCATAAGAAGGAAATGCAAGCGAAGGACTTCGAGATTTACCAGTGAAAGAATTTGCTTGAAGTATGCCTAATGGTATAATTTAGTCCTTGGCTGCTCTATGAAATAACTTCAGTTGAAATTGTTACTAATTTGATTTCATTTGTTAGGGTATGAAGCAAATACAGAGGTCTTCAGTTTCCAGAGATTGTACTGGGTATTAAGTCACTGGGGCATTTTATGAAAGCTCTGTGTTGCGTGCTACCGTCTCCCTCATTCCTGTTCTGTAGCACAGGGACCCTTTGGGTTCGGTACTGTGTAGTTTAAACTTCCATGTTTCCTTTGGGAAACAACATGACCAGGTCATGAGACGGGGGCTGGGGCAAATACAAAGTTTACTTCCAGTACAGGTATTTCAGATAACTGCAGTTCCTTTCTCTCTGAACCCTGGGGACTGCTCCTGCCTGAGAAAAATGTAATTAACGTACCTTGGATGTACAGAAGACAACTCTTTTTTTTTTTTTTTTTTTTCCTTCCCCAAAAGCCTATTTGTAGCCTATGCTGAGAAATGTTGTAAACAAAAAAATTTCCAAATACAGTATTAGAGTCTATACAGGGTATGCTGTGGTTCATAGGTGGTGCGTACAGCTATGAAGTAATTACCTTGGTAGAAAAAAGATGAGAAGCCTATTTGGAACCAGTGTATTGGGGTGTAGAGAAAGCGTAGAACTCCAGTTGGAGTGGGGCCAGAAAAGAATCTTATTTCAGTAACAGATGAGTACGATTAAACTTGGAATTTTTATGGATTTTTGTAAATATCCTTAGATTTTTTTTATTCTGCTTAAGAATAATCTTGAGATTGAATATAGCAGGTTGTATACACTTAAAATTCCTTTCCTTCTCTTTGTATATTAATATATTGCTTGCTTAATCTCATGAAATTTTAGAGGCAGAAAATCTTATAGAAATTATAATTATTGAAAGTTTGCCTATGTATTCATAGTTTTGTACTTTGGAGGGTTTTTATCATGACTATTCAGTGATGTAGAACAGCTCGCTCATATCTTACTAATATGAGTGCATTGGGGTCACCGTAACCATTGCTGTGCTCATATTTATATATTTTTAAAAGGAGAAGAGAGAGGAGGGAGTTGAACTGTTTCCTACTGTACTGCTGTTACCCCCTGGTCTGAAGAAACTTTCATTGAAGTAAGTTTTGGTCAAATAATTGTTTTTCTGAAGTATAAGCATATATGAACATTATTGTTGCTTACTTTCCATGGGGAATGAGAAAGGTTGCTCAAGAAGGTATCAGAGCTAGATAAATCAATTTAAAACTTGGAGAATGCAAAATTTGGGGAAGTGAATATGAAACTGAAAGGCAAATAGATGAAGGTGTAGGGTTCTACCTAAATTCTAACCTTTCTGTATATTCTTTGTAATAAGCTTTAAAAGCATGATTGTGTACTTTTAAAATACGGAATATATATGAGCCTTTCACAGTATATGTATAATACTGTGCCTTTTCTTTCCTGTAGGTTTACATGACTTAGTTTAACATGTATTTAAAAACAAACAGACAAACCCCCAGTTTCTAAGGCATTTCTCAGTCAAAAGAGAAGTAGAAAAACTTACATTTTAACTGATAGCATGACCCAGCCAGGGTTGCCACATGGATGTTGATAGTTTACCTCTAAAGATCACAAACATAAGCATCCCAGGTGTAATTAACACTGAAAAATTATGTATAAAATATCTAATTTGTCAATATTATTTTGTAAAACTTTGGGGACTCGACGAGGAGTTAACTCCCTACCATGTGTATGTAAATGACTTACATGCACTCTGTGACTTACTACTTTGTATGTCCTGCGGCTGCAGTTCAGTGTAGAAAGAGTGAAGTTAACTAAAAGCCAATAGAAGTAATTTGCTCATGACAGCACAGAAGTCTGTGAAGATTAGTTTTCTCTGCTTCCCAAGTATTGGAAAACATTATTTCTTGCAATGACAAATAATACGTGTTAATGAAAGTCAGCACAGTGAAATAATTTCCTTCCTTTGCAGTGTACCCTCGGTATATACTTGGGTATAACACAATAATCAACTTCAAGATTGTCTGAATTTTTAAAGATTGTTACGTTAATAGATTATACATATGATTGAGAAAATGCTTCTGTATGAACTTTTAGGCAAGATGTCAGTGAAAACGGCCGTTCCTTTTATACGATCCCCGTCCTTGGAGAGGAATCTCTTCTGTGTATGCTTGGAAGGTTTGAGTCCTTTTCATGGAGAATGCTTGATGGAAAGTACGAAATGGAAACTGAGAACAGAAACACCAAGAGGATGATGGTGTTATAGAAGGATGCTGTTTTTCAGCTAAATTAGCTGCGGCCATATGTGAAATACAAACTTACCTTCATCTTTTTATTGCAAAAAAAAAAGGGTTAATAATTGTGTGGAGTGTCTGCTAATGTTTTTAAAGTGCATTTTCACAAGCATTCAATCAAATTAAAAGTAGTCTTCTGTAAAGAAGACTTCATTTTGTTTGATATTTGGGAAGGGATTCTTGCAAGAATTATTACTTTCAGAAATAAATATTTTATCTTTCAGCATACCTAAGAGTATCTAAATATCTGTCTAAGTGTATCAGTATGTTGCTGAAACTAAATCAAAGAAATGTAGAATGTAACCACTAGAATGTGAATATTTATATGATGATAATGGTACTGGTTGTCCTTGTATTAATGAGCAAAT